CCAAGACAGGTATTCAAATTGAAAAAGAAATATGTTTTCTAGCTAGAAAAAAAGATTATCACCCTAAGAAGTGCACTTGAAAAAAAAAATTCATGAAGAAGTCTTTTTAAAAAAAAAACTCTCTGTCCCTGTCTTCATCTAATTTTATTTGTATTTGGTATTTCAATAAAAAGTTAATATAACAAAATTGGTTATCAAACACATATGAGAAATATCTGATATTTCCCATATAATTGTAGTTTTCTAAAGATAGAAGTGAAATATCCAGCTCACGAATATAAGTGGTGTTTATATGCCAATTTCCATACACTGCTATACCATACACTTCTATATCCTGCCAAATAAAGACTAAACCACCATTGTTAAGAACAGTACTATCATCATACTTATAAATTATACTCATTATATTTAAAAAAGGTGTCTAAATAAATTACTGTATTTTAGAGTAAAAATTATACCTTCATATTAGAAAACACAAGTTGTGAATCAATGATTATTTAATATGCAAAAATTCTTTTTAATATTTTAAAGTCATTTATAAGATCACATATAGAAATTATGTATGCACACACATAAAAGATTGGATTTTTTTTATCAAGAATGCTATCTATGTTCACAAGTTATGTTGCTTTTCTTAAACTACTATGTCTTAGGTGTATTTGTTTATTGGCCTTAGTTTCCTTCTTTTTTTTTTTTTTTTAAGTAGGCTCCATGACCAGTGTGGAGTCTAATGCAAGGCTTGAACTCACAACCCCAAGATCAAGAGTGATTTCAACTGACTGAGCCACTCAGGTGCCCTTATTCTTTTTTAAAAACGTAATTTCATATTTATAGAAAATTTGTAAGTACTGCACAGAACGTATCTTTTTAATGTGAGCCATTTAGAGTAAGTTGACATCGTGCCAACTTTAGTGTGTATTTACTATAACAAAACACTCTCCTACATAAGCTCTAGAAAACAATTAAATTACTATCTAATCCAAAGATTACAATTGAATTTCATCTATCATCCCAGTAATGTCTTTTACAACAAAAGATGCAGGCATGGCATTTATTTGTTATATTTATCTTCACTGTCCTTTAATATGGAAAGTTTCCTTAATCATTCCTTTGCACGGCTTTGACACTTTGAAGGCTGGTTATATTGTAGATAGTACCTCAATTTGGATTTGTCTTCTTTCCTCATACTAGATTCTGATTATGCATTTTTGGCAGGAAAATTACAATTGTTATTCTGTGTTCTTCTCGTTGCCTATTTCTGGTAGCACCCACGTTTAATTTTCTCATTAATGGAGATGTTAATTTTGATCACTTAATTAAAGTAGGATCTGGTAAGCTTACAACTATAATGTTGCTATTTTTCCCTTGTAATTAAAAAATAATTTGGACGTAGGCACTTTAAGAGTATTTCCATTTATTTATTTATTTATTTTTATTTTGTCATCTAACTTGCTAAATTTTTTCTCAACATATACCTGCATTAGCAACCACTGATGCCCCTCAGGTGAATTCATTTGTATTATGGTATTTGTTAAAAATGGTTGATGGATGTTTTTGACATGTGTCTTTTTTTTTTTAATTTCTTTTCCGCCCGGCACAACACATTGTTCCAGGCTTATCTTGTACTTTCTTTGTCCTACTCCTAGAATCAGCCACTTTTACAAGAAACCCTGGTTACTTTTAATAAGGAACAGAATTAGAAACCAAGACATGGTTGCCAGCCGTGTATGCTCTTTGCTGTTGAGATGTTGGAGCTCCCAAGTCCTCTCAGTGGATAGAGCTAGCTCAGAAATAGTTTTCTTTTCTTTTTATTTTTAATTTCAAGTTTTTATTTAAATTTTAGTTAGTTACCACACATAGTAAAATTGGTTTCAGGTGTAGCATTTAGTGACTCATCACTTACATATACAGAAATCATTTTCTGAGTAAGATTCCTAACAACATGAAGTTCCTTATAGAAATGGCTGAATACACACAAACACACACCTTATTTTCTTCTTTCTGTATCTATCTACATACATTAAAACCAGATTTAACACCAGTAACTCCAATACCCAACCATTACCCCAGGGTCATTCTAGTTTTTGTATTTTTATATAATCATGGATGTTACCCCTATGTTTGTAGAAATCATCCATCACTGCCCCCACCATTTTACTTGGACCCCTCCTTACACTGATTAGGTTCCAACACTCTTCTCCGGGTTACTATTTCTGTCTTGGCACATGCAAATCCTTCTCACCTGCCTAGACGCTAACACCCCACACTAGATCATTGAACCCCCTCTAGTCTATTAACTCTGCTGAGGGTCTGACCCCTTATGGTAGGCTTCTGTGCCCCCACCTGCATACAGATGTCTCCTTCGCTCAGATGTAAGACTTAATTATAAAGGTGCTAAAAAGGGAAGAAAAGAAGGAAAAGAAAAAGGAAAAAGAGATTTTTGAAATAAAGGAAGTTAAAAAGGTAGCTTTTTCCTGTATTTTTCTCTGAATATATAGCACATAATTTCATATGCAATTATCACTGTTTTAATTTATTGCCCTTTTAAATCAAAGTAATCTGTTACAGTATAAAATACCACAAGTTGGGGCGCCTTGGTGGCTCAGTCATTAAGCGTCCGCCTTCTGCTCAGGTCATGATCCCAGGGTCCTGGGATCGAGCCCCGCATCGGGCTCCCTGCTCGGCGGGAAGCCTGCTTCTCCCTCTCCCACTCCCCCCTGCTTGTGTTCCCTCTCTCGCTGTCTCTCTCTCTGTCAAATAAAAAGAATCTTAAAAAAAATAAAATACCACATGCCAAATGATCTGGACCTTTTACTAGGTCGGATAGGCCAATGAGATATTGAGCTGTGATACTGACATCTATTTTGAAATATTTAAATTTCTACATAACATTTCTCTTACATTTTACTTAAAATCACCTTGCACTTTCACTGTTCAAATCCTTCAGAAAAGACTAAATTTTATAAGCATTAACTAAAGAGTTCCCATCAAAGGAATAATGTTTATAAATGCTGATGTTTAAACGTATGTTTCCCATCTTAAGGCTCAGGGTCTAATTTATTTTTATATCTCTGTTACAATTTCAGTTGAACCTACCTCTTCTGAAACAAATTTCAGGTATGTATTTGTCACAAAATTTTGAAGTATTAGAAAAGTTGCAGTATTCAAGAAGTATTTCCAATAACATTTTAGCTCTTAGCTTGAGTGAACATTTTCTATTTTTTTTTATGGTTAGGTTGAGGGAAACTCATTAAGTTAATATCTTCATTAGAAGGATAGGTATCAAACATATTTTTCAATGAAAAATGTTACAGTAAGAAATTATAAGCTATGCAGGTATACAGATATTAAATATTTCCTGAAAAATTTTTTTTAATATTTTTTATTTATTTATTTGACAGAGAGAGAGAGCGAGAGAGGAAATACAAGCAGGGGGAAGTAGAAGAGAGAGAAGCAGGCTTCCCGCAGTGGGGAGCCCGATGTAGGGCTCAATCCCAGGACCCTGGGTTCATGACCTGAGCCAAAGGCAGATGCTTAATGATTGAACCACCCAGGTGCCCCATTTCCTGAAAATTTAATAAGATATCAAAATCTCATGAATATAATATTCTATTTTTCATATTTTTTTCTAGAATTACAAGCACATGAAAATTTTTTAAAAATCTGGTCATTAACAAGTTTACCTAATAGATACAAACTTACATTATTTGTAAGAAAGTAATATAAAATATATATTAGTATTAATATAATTGCATATACATATATTGATCACATATTTAGTTATTATTTATTAAAAAGTTCATACTAATTACAAGAAACTTTGCCTAATTTCCTGAGGCTTGGAATTAATGTAAGTAATGAATGCTTCTGATCAGTACAGATCATGCTCACTTCAATTTATTATCAATGAATTTTGATATGACTCAGCACACTTCATTTTCCTAGAATTGAATTGCTTATGTAATGGTTTATTCATATGCCTAAATGTGGATAGTCTACTTCCTATGATTGTCATTGAGATTAATTTTCTAAATCACCTCATGGTAGCTGATAAATATTCATTATTTCCTTTCTTCCCCCTCCCTCCTTCCTTTTCTCCCTAAATTCCCTCTAATCTCAATATTTTCCTTCCTCCTTTCTTCCCTACAGCCCTTTCGCACAATCCCTTCTCTAGTGTAGCACAACTTGAAGTGGAGAGAAACAGATTTCAGGTACATAATAATTTGAGTATTATTAGCTTTGTAAACTTGTAAATTTCCCTTTGGTCTTTACAACTAATGACATGATTTACATACCAATAGAAGTAAATATATTCCGTGACTTAAATTATAGTTATATACTAGAACTCTACTTATAAAACATTTCAAAATATTTTCATGGAAGCTACTTATTCTATTAAAACATAACATTACAATATATATATGTGTGTTATATATAACTTACTTATATAACTAAAAAATAATTGGATTTCTAGTTAAAATGAATTGTATCTACATGTTACTATTTTGATATCTTTAAGCTTTTGGGGAACAACTAGAATGCTTTCATATACAAAATGCAACAGCCTTCAGTGCAACTTATATAACTCTAAATTTTCTATTTACCTTAAAAATAAGCTTATTATTTGTTCTTTCAAGTTTAGGATTTTAAAATATATTAATTTTAGTTTATTTTCTCTCAAGATGACTTTTAAACTTTTTTGATAGGATTCTTACTTAGCATAAAATATAATTTGCTTTCTTAAGATATACCTTTTCTACTTCTTTTACAGATAGCTCACTTGTAAAGTTGGGGGATCAGAATCAGGGTTTAAAATCAATCCTGATCACTAAATATATTCTAAGTTCTCACTATCTATCTGTCAGATGCACCTGTTCTAAATTTTTAAGCACTGGTTCATTCTTCCTAATAATAACCTGTATCATGACTTACTAAAATATAAAGCTATTTGCTTATAGATATATTTTATGAGTTCTTATAAATTACTGTGCTATACTTACCAGCCAAAGCAAGAATATATTCTTGAAATCTTGTTCCTATACGGTTAGTGGCTGTGCAATTATATCGTCCAAAGTCATTGTCAGATGTAGGTGCTATCTAAAATAATCATAATAATAAAAAGTTTAACGATTTTAAAACAATATCATGGCAGTTTTAAAATAAACTCTAGTATACCTACCAACTTCACACATGTTCAATTATTCACAACTCCTTGCCATACTCTTTTTTTTTCCTGTATCAAGTAAGCATCACACCCTTTTAAGATGTAATACATGAACCTATATTTCCACAGCACTAGGTAAAGTATAGCTTAACTATTAATTTATGCGGTAGACAAATGCCACCATTATTTTATAGCTATTGAATAGCAAAATCATTAGATATTTGGTATGTAAAACTCATAAAGTAGTACACAGTTTGAAACATATATATTCTACAATTGCTGCAGACATGAACTTTTTAGCCTAAAGTCAAGCAGATTTAAAGTTCACAAAAGGCGGGAAATACATTAGTTTTTTTTCCCCTCTCATGATTTAATTGAATATAAAATATTAACGAAGGATGAGGACTCATTCTAAAAGAAAACCAAAAAACAAAACAAAAAAAACCTTCCCATTTTGCAAGAAAATGTTGCCCTTGTGTAGCAATCCCTGTAGACAGGCACATTATCTTGATGGCTAATAATAGTATCTTGCCTCCGTTTCTGTTGAATTCCTATAATTCTCTTTCAGTTTAGGTGGAAAATAGCTGACCTCAGTCCTTACGCATTTGAAATCTGTAATTAAGTTAACCTTTCAGGAATCTATTGCTGAATGTTGGGGCCAACTCTCTAATTCTAATGTACCAAAATTCTGAAGTATCAATGCAGAAAAGAGATTTGATGATAGTAATAGATACAATTTTCAATCCCCCAGTAACTATTATTAAGAAAGAATATGCTTACAACGAGTTGCTGTTAATTTCAACTCTATTCCAAAAGGGGGGGAAATGATTTTGTGGTAATGGGAGGCCATTAACTAAAAGTGCAATTTTGAGGTCCATTGAAGACGGTAATTCTGAAAAAGCACAAAAAAGCTGTGTCACTCATTCTCTGGTTAGCTGTCTATCTAGAAATAGATCATAAGTTTAAGGATTAGAGGCTTTAACCATTCTTACGTAAGTACTCCTGAGTGATTAAAACATTCATTCTTCTCACATTCAGCTTTTAATAAACCAGGGTAATTTAACTTGAAAATAATTTTACTAGTGAGAAAGGAATCTGCCCCCCAAATTTCTACATTTTACAGGCATAGGAGAGTTATTTGTATAGTCCATAGGGAACAATGTGCACTGAATTGATAAAAGGCAGACAGGATGGCCATGACAAACAATAAGGACTATTGTGCAGCCCCTCAATATTAAAAAAGTAATTTAAATATAGCCAGTTTCATTGGAACAACTTTTAAAAGGTTCAGTTCAGGGTTTTTTTTTTTTATTAATTTGTTTGTTTTCTGTTCTTGGGAGTTCACCTATTAAAAGATAAAAGTTTTACAGTTTTATCTGAAATAATTTCTTTATCATGGTGTATGATTAACAAATACAGAAGACACCCCTAGTAGCACAGATAATTAAACAAAACAAAACAAAACAAAACAAAACAAAAAACAACCCACAGACGTCGATATAACCTGGCCAAATCATGTGCCCTGCAGCATATTTGATGTGTTCTAGGAAAGCAATATGAATACAACGTGCAATAGTGGCTTTATGCCCAATCCCAGCACAATGATATGACAGGTAATTTTATAAAAAAATAAAATATTATACAACAAATGTATATTCTAAACCTTTAATTTAAAAATATTTAAACGTTTAAAATATACCAATTATTGCTGATATTTACCCAGGAAGTGCTAGAAACATCTACATATGACACCAATTTTTCACATTTTAATATGTAGTTAAAATAATTCAAGATTACTTAAGATATTGGGCTTTAATAGTACATAACAGATCAAAAATATAATTTTGAACATCAAAATATGAGCTGGGAGTACAATGTTTTTTTGTTTTAAAGATTTTATTTATTTATTTGACAGAGAGAGACACAGAGAGAGAGGGAACATAAGCAGGGGGAGTGGGAGAGGGAGAAGCAGGCTTCCCGCTGAGCAGGAAGCCTGATGCGGGGCTCGATCCCAGGACCCTGGGATCATGACCTGAGCCGAAGGCAGACACTTAACGACTGAGCTACCCAGGCACCCTGGGAGTACAATGTTAATAAAGGAGTTCACTAGTCTTTTTCCTAAACTTTCATAAACTTCATTTCCTCTTTCTATGTGTTTCTCTGTGTCAATTCACCAATAGTCCTAATAAAGTTACAAAGAAACCAATTTAATAAATTGAAACAGATTTAGACACCATCCATCTCAAGGTGTTTAAATCCTTTGGAATGGGTGGTGTGCACAGGTGTCTGCCTTACTAATATTTTATAATACATGTATTTGTTGGGCATATAAGTGATAATCAAAGCCTTTCTGCCCTAGGTCTAGAAAATCAATACAAAACAATAGTTCCTTTTAGAGTCCTACCTTTTTATCTTTTTTGGCTATATTAATAAGTAAATAAAATAAAATACAAAACTAAAAAAAGAAACAGATTAAGACACTTGTTTAATTAGCAAAGAGTCAGTTATCCAAATATTTGGGGAAGTGATGGCTAAATCCTTCTATCAACCAAATATTTCATGAAGTCCAATTACCAGGTAGAAAAGAATATGGCACCAATGAGAATACCTTTAAGTTAATGCATTATGAGTATCAGATGTTATTTTAAAACGTATATTTTTTAAATGTATGTAAATTGAATTACAGGGAAAAACAGCATCCTTTCAGCTATCTAAGGCTATTTGAGAAAGATTCCCAATTGTACTGAAAGCATGATAAACTGGAAGTGTTCATGATTTTGATCATAGACACACAAACTTTGGGAACTGATACACACACACACACACACACACACAATCTACAATTAATAAATAAAAGGTATTTTATTCAAAAAAGAAGATAGTAGGAAGGGAAAAATGAAGGGGGGAAATCAGAGGGGGAGACAAACCACGAGAAACTATGGACTCTGAAAAACAAAATGAGGGTTCTAGAGGGGAGGGGGGTGGGGAGATGGGTTAGCCCGGTGATGGGTATTAAGGAGGGCACGTACTGAATGGAGCACTGGGTGTTATACGCAAACAATGAATCATGGAACACTACATCAAAAACTAATGATGTAATGTATGGTGATTAACATAACATAATAAAATTTAAAAAAATGTAAAATAAAGTAGAAAAATAAAAAAAAGGTATTGTATTCAAACAGAATTTAAAGGCCAGGCACTTGTCACTATAAAGACAATTATCTACAATCTTAATTTAAAATATAAAATGAAATGAGGCATTGAACAAGTAAATCTGGTTTATTTAGAAACTTGTAAATACGTACCCACCAAAATGTTATATATGCCAGTCTTAGAAGGAAGGCATAATCTCAGAATCAATAACTAGTATGAACACTTTGGGCCCTTAACAACTAATGAATTACTCAATCCCTCACCCTGTTTTTTCCTGATATAATTTTTTCCAAAAAAATTTATGAAAAATAATGGCTTTTGCTACACACTCATATTTCTATATAAGAGTGAGATATTAATCATTAATGGGCCATGATCCAAATGCATAATATTTCCTTTTTAAGTAAATACACAAAAAAGATACACAATAAGATTTGTATGTGTATGTATATTATATACTATAAATATATATTATACAAACATTTTTATATTAACATATTTATATATATATTCTAAAATAGTAGGTAACTGCTCAAACAGTACAACTTATTCATACGTACATGAAGACTTACCTCTAATATCATCTTTCTCCCTGCACTATATGTCTTTAAATTAGTGGTGTTTTTAGCTGGCAGGACTAATTTCTCTCTTCTCCAGTGGACTGATGCTGGTGGATTAGATTTCACATCACAGCTTATATTGATCGGGTTTCCTTCCCAAGAGTAATAAATTGTTTGGTTTGATATAAACTTTGGAGCATCTATAAAGCAAAATAACGTAACGTTTATGGACCTTTACTTTAAGATAAATAATCACTTGATTAGCATAAACAATAGTAATAACTGCTTGGCTACAGAAAGAAGCCACAGCAATTCTAACTTCATATATTTAATATGTGACATCAGAACTCATGAAAATATGTTATTTGACTGTTTCACCAAATAATCTTAAAATTAATATTCAAATATTCAAAATTGATCAATTATTAAAATAGGAAACACTGTTCAGAGTTAAGTTTGCTTTTAATAATCTGACAAAAAATTATCTATTCAGTTAATTAATAGCTATCTACATATGTGAAATCTGTTTCTGGAACAAACCTCATTATAAAGTGTGAGTTTAGGATAACAAAATCAGTGGTCTTATGTCATTTTTAAATCTTGTCTTACTCATATAATTTCTTCTATCAGATATTTTGAAACAGATATAAAATCTAAGTTGAAATGTCAATATCACAATTAAGAATTTTTTTCCTGAACTATCATTTCTAGTTTTAATTAAACCAGAGATGCTTTAATTTAATACACAAAGTTGACTTGAAAATTAATCAGTTCTTATGAAGCTCTGTCAATTCTCCGGACCCTACATCAGACTGCTATAAAAATAGTTAAGAAAAAACAGACAATATTATTATATTATTTTATTGAAATAATCTAATTGTGAAGACACACAAAATGGTTTTTAGTCTTGCTCCATTCTAGAACTATCATGTAGAACAAATGCCAATCAATCATAACCTCTTTGAGTCTCAATATCTTGACTGTATAATTATTTGAAAGAATTCATCTTTAAAATTTTTACATAAAAGCAAAGTCGTATATTAAGTGGTAACTAAAATGTTGCTGGTATTTATATTATTATTGTTATTAATATTAACCATTTAAAAATATCACTTCATAAATTATTGACTTCAGTAATCTAACTTAAATGTTTTGTTTTACTACCCCTAATTACTTAAAAATGAGCTACGCCAATTTTGTTTATCAAGAGATTTTATATAAGATACATAAGAATTATAATCTGTAGTACAAATACACAAGTAATTGAAAAATTCTTGTCCTGTATTTGTTTTAGTGTATGTTTATAATGCCAACCTCACACAGAGGTATCAAATATTAATTGAATGTTTTCTATGTAAGACAGTAAGATTATACATTTTATTCTATCTTATCTTTTCAATAACCTTGTGAGGAAGGTGTTATCCTGTTGTAAGCATGAAGGATCTGGATTAAGAGCTGTCAAGCTTATTCTAGCACTAAGTTGTAGGTCTGGGATGTGAATTTGCGCTGATTTTAACCAGAGACCATTCATTATATATCCATTCAACCCAGGAACAAAATTATATTATTCAGGGCTAGCAACGTTTTGGTGATGTGGATCCTATCATACATTACTGAAGTGAATACAATTTGAACAATTCTTCAGGAAGATAAAGAATCTTAAAAAGCTTTATAATTTTGATTCTGCAATCCAGTCTTAGGTATCTTTCCAGAGAAAGTAAGTAGAAATATTAAAAGGTTATGTAAAGGACTTTTAATGCATTGCTACCTTTAAAAAAAAAGGATTTTATTTATTCATTTGAGAGAGAGAGACAGAGCACAAGCAAGGGGAGAGGCAGAGGGAGAGGGGGAAGCAGGCTCCCTGCTGACCAGGGAGCTAGACGTGGGGATTGAACACAGGACCTGGAGATCATGACCTGGGCCAAAGGCAGATGCCCAAACATCTGAGCCACCCAGGCGCCCCTTAATGCATTACTATCTTAACACAAACTCAGAACTTAATGTCCCTCAAAAGAGAATTGTCTAAATAGGTAATAACACATCTTGGCACTTAGGTGTGCTAAATATTACACAGACATATCTGCCTATGGTTTCCTCTCAGCTTGCAATGTGCCTGTCCTTCCTTTCATCTGGCTGCCTTCAAAACTAAGCTCCACACTTCTTTTTTTTTTTTCATTTTTTATTGTTATGTTAATCACCATACATTACATCATTAGTTTTTTGAGGTAGTGTTCCATGATTCATTGTTTGTGCATAACACCCAGTACTCCACGCAGTACGTGCCCTCTTTAATACCCATCACCAGGCTAACCCATCCCTCCACCCCCTCCCCTCTACAACCCTCAGTTTGTTTTTCAGAGTCCATCATCTCTCATGGTTCGTCTCCCCCTCCGATTTATTCCCCTTCATTCTTCCCCTCCTGCTATCTTTTTCTTCTTTTTTTTTTTCTTAACATATATTGCATTATTGTTTCAGAGGTACAGATCTGTGATTCGACAGTCTTGCACAATTCACAGCACTCACCATAGTACATACCCTCCCCAATGTCTATCACCCAGCCACCCCATCCCTCCAACCCCCACCACTCCAGCAACCCTCAGTT